CCCCTGCTGCTGCACAACCTCACACATGCACATACACGTAGGCAGACGCAGACACATTCACACACGTTCATGCACACAGAACACACTGCAACACCCAGACAAGCACACTCATGTGCAAAGTGCACACACAGATGAGTACACACACGCACTCATGTCGACACACAGAGATGTGCACACACAGTCACACAGAATCAGTCTCATGTGCACAGCACATGCCACACATACAGACATACACATGCAGAGACAGGCTGGTCCCCCCACACACATCCTTCAGGAGCAGCAAGGGGAACAGTGGGGGACTAAGAGCCACAAGGGAGGGCGGGACATCAGACACATCAGCAACTTCCTGAGGCTCGGGAGCCCAGCCCAGAGGCCTGACTGGCTCAGCGGAACAGAGTGAGAAACCAGGTGGGGGTGGGGGACACTTTGCTGCCCGCAGGCCTACCCACAGGAATACCTGAGATTCCCCAGGATGACATGTCTGAAGACAAGGGTTTGGGAACACAGCACTGTTTCTGGGACAAGAGGATGGACAGTGCCTGGGGAGGGCTCCCTTCAAGTCCCCTGCTCAGACACACAGAGGGAAAGTGAGTGATAGGAGCGGGTCCGAGATGTGTTCACAGGGAGGCAGGGGGCCCCTTGGAGAAGAGGGGAGCCAGGGGCAGAATGCCTGGTGAAAAGCCAGGGACCCCCCCTTGGGGAGTTTTCACCCCCACCTCAGGCAGCTGACCTAATCCCTCAGAGGACAAGGAGCGCCTTCATCCCCACCCTAAACCGTCCTCCGACCCCTCACTCCTCCTGGGCCCCGGAAAGGAAGGCCAGGTGGGTGCAGAAGGAAGAAGGCCGTTCGTTCTGGGGTGAGGAGCTTCCACTTTACTATTCAGCCCCTCTTTCTTCCCCGTCTAATAGCTGGAGAGAGCTCAGATTTGCGGCTCAAATCTGATACTAAGAAGTTCCATCATCTATCCGTCCACCCCCTATTAGTACATCTGGTGGGAGGAAGCCTGCCCTGTGCCCAGGGCTACGCTAGGGAACTCTGCCTAGGGCTGGAAAGATGAACAAGAAGTATGACAGAGGCAGTCCTTGCTTCATGCAGCCCCGGGGGACACAGCTGGTGGAAGATGCGAGAGGGCGTCTGAAGCTCCGGGCCGAGGTGACCGCTCTAACATGTGCGTCTGGAAAACTACCCGGATGAGGCTGTGAGCTCACTGTCCTCACAGGGGTCCAAGCAAGAGTTGGACGACCCCCAGTCTTTGCTGGGATCCCGGCCTGGGGTGGGAGGTCCAGTGATGGCCCCTCCGTTCCCTCCACCTATGGCGATCGCCTGGACTCTCCCACTTAGACCCACAGTCCCGTGGCGGGTCAGAGGAGAAAATTCTCTGGTAATTCTGCTGAGGCCTGAATCCCCTTGGATTTCCTATCTCTGCTGACCTGGCAATGAACTGATGGGGGAGAAAAGAGAGCTTCAGTAGACGCCCCCATTCCCCTCCTTCCAGAAGCCCCAGCGCCTCTCCAGCGTGGCAGCGGCCCCTGCACACCCTCCACCCAGGCTCAGAACCGAGGCTGTTTGCAGGGCCCATTGTTTTGCTGGTGTCCTGGATTAGGTTTAAGCCACCAGCTGCCCCAGTGACGAGAAGTGGCTGAGACAGGTCCCCGCATGCCCCCCATTCCTCCCAGCACACATCCTGCCAGGAGCTGCCAGCTGCCGGGGGGCTGGGAGGGGGGACCCTCTGGGAGGCCTGCCTGTAATCCAGGGCAGTAGGCATGCCTTCTTTCCTCAGGTCCCCTCCTCACCCAGGCACCGTGCACCCGCACCCTTATCTCAGCCTGTCCCTCTCCTCTTTCTTTTTGTGGCAGGTGCTCACCCCCTGCCACGGCGACCACACTCTTGCCTGGAAAGGAGGCAGCCCCACCGCCAGCAACTCTGGCAGCCCCGCTGTGGGAAGTCCTCTTCCCCCTGTGCTATGATACATGCAGGTCTCCTCTCCTCGCCTCTCCGCAGACCTGGGACAATACTGGGTCTTGCTCTCAGCTCAAGGGGGGGAGGAAGGTGGTAAATGCAGACGCAGACAAGGAGGCAGCAGTGAGAACTAGGAAGGTGATTAGATTGGGATGGGGTACAGCCCCCACATCCCCCCAGCTCTGCTCTCTGAGATAGGGACAGAGATAAGGGACACAGAGGGAGAGGCCCAGGGGGCACGGGGACATCACTAATACCTCCCGGCCCCAGACCCTTTCCAAACGCTCCCATCCTTGTGTCAGGAAAGAAGGAGGTATCCCGAAACACCAACTGACTCTGGAAGAAGGGCGGACGGCCTCAGGGCCACAAACTAGACAGAGCTGGGCCCATGGTGGGTTGGTTGGCAAGACCAGGAACTGGGACCCAGGAGTCCGGCTCCTCCCCCCAGGAGCATAAAGAGGTCATTGCCGGGAGCACAGCGCTCACGCTGGGCACGGCGCCCACTATGATTCACACCCCACCAGCCTGGTCGATCCCCGATATCCGAAACACTGTCCCCACCCCCACCCATACCCGCTCTGTCCATCCTCACCCACAGAGCTCACCACCTGCCGCCTCAGCCTCTTTCACCCACTAGAGGACCCTCGTCTGCCCCTGTGCCCAGTCCACTGCCTGCCTCTGGGCCAGGCCCCTGCCAGCCCAAACCCCCCAGGACCCCAGATGCCCCCGCATCTCTCCAAACAACCTGGTCCCTTCCATCCTCCCACTGCCTGTACACCAGCAGGCTCTAGCCCCTGGAGGCCACCACCCAGCCGGGCTTGTCACCCAGCGCCCTGGGAGAGCTCTCAGCCACAGCGCCCCCCCGCCCCCCGCAGGCATCGC